AAATGGCCACAGTAAAATAACTGGATGAGAAGACAATTACATTTATTTACAGAGCTAAAACATACGATGCAGCTGATAAAGCCTCTGAGTGGATTCAACAGAAAGCAGGATCAGGCACAGCATCTCTCTCAGGTCATCTCTTCGACTAGATAAACAGTTCTCTTAAACTGCTCAGATGGTCGCTCGTATGATTTTGTCCCACAGCACCGAGTGCTTCCCAAGAGGTTCCCGGAGCTGTGGTCAGGCACGGGGCAGCTCTGTACACAGGGGCTTCCCAGCTGACCGCCCAGCTGAGGCCTTGGCAACTCCTTGCAGGGGCAGAAACACTGGTCCCCCAAGCTTGCTGAAAGCACAGATCTGTTGTTCAGAAATCCCGGTGATGGGTCACCGTGGGCCATGCCAGCACCGTGGGCCATGCCGGCGTTTTGGCCAGGCGGCAGCAGTGGGGACGTGGCAGCGCTACCCCATGTCTGGGGCTGGGGGACTGGAGGGTGTCTCCAGCACAGACTTCTCCTCCTTGCCTTCCCATCCCCATCCCCTTTCATGGCCCATCTCACGGCACTGGGGAGTTTAACCCTGCAGAGCAAACCCTGGTGTAACCTGACGGTGGAGTTTGCCCATCACAGTCGTTTCCACTCCAGTTCAGATCTTGGAGCGCAAAACCCCCAAATCCTCATCCTTCTGGCCGAAATTTTTCCAGGTAGATAAAATTCTTGAGGAATCCATTTTGGTCTCATGAAGGTCTTCATGGCTTTTTTGTCAGAACAGTGAACTACACACACACACATATACACACGTATATGGTTAGTGACACTTTTTTAGGGTTGGCGTTTGGAGAAACTGAGTAGTCTTGTAACTCTTCTGTTTACATAACAAATTCAGAATAAGGGAACCACATGGTAGGATCCAAGTAATTGTGTTTACTAAATATGCACAGCATGCAAGGCCGGGCTTAGTTATATATACACACTGCTGCTCCAACGGGATTTTGGCAGTCTCCAAAACATAAAAGGCATTGAGTGACTCGAATTGTACCCTCATCATCAAGCAGGAGTCTCAAACATGGAAAATGCACGGCAAGCGATGGCCAAGCTGAACATACGTGCATGCCTAATTCAGAGGGCTCAGGGGCGGGGAACAGCTAAGTAGAAGTACACCATAAATGAGCTTTTCCATTGCTCCCTTCCTACCTTCCAGGGTAAAAGCGGTGCAGATCCAATAGACCTTTGGAGAGTTGCTCAGCTCTTTATTTTTTCCAAGATACATAGCAAAAAGGGAATTTCTGTTTATGTTCTCACAAAGTGACTGGCTAAATAATTCCAGATGATGGAATTTTCTTCTGTCCTTAAAGCAAAACAAAATCTTAACCTTCACCACTCTCTGAATGACATTAAGACTATGATGAGAAATCTTTATTTCAGCATTCAAAAAGCAGTTAATAGCAACATAAAGTTGGAAAAATAACCCTAACTCTGCCCCTATGTCCATGTGCAATACGGTCTTGGATTGTACACTCATATGGTCTTTCTTTGGGATGTCTTCTCTTTTTTCCTGCAGTTTTTAGGTAACAGCTGTAACAGCTTTTAGCATGTTATGTCTCTATCAATTCCTGAAATCTAGTTATATGGAACAGGCACCACAAGCCTATTACTTACCACATGTAATGCCCATATCAGTGAATTCTGAAAAAATGGGAAGTAGTGATTTTCATCCCTTGTTAGACCAAATATTTTTGTAGCCAATTTTCAGTTTGAGACTATGAAGTCGCCTTTGCATCTTTTTCTTTACAGGATGCTGTAAAGAGGAAGCATTTTAGCTTCCTTTTTGTTAGCTTGGGAGACAAGCTGTTTACCACCGTTTTCCACATGAAAAGAAACAGAGGAAAAACTAGCTCAAATAAAAGAAAAAAAAAAAAAGTCTATGTGAAATCATTGATTTTGATAAAAAAAGTATTTTCCAAATGAAAAAAAATGTCATCATAAGTACAGCTATAATGATTAATGATTAGAGGGGTACTTCCTTCTGGTTTTGGACAGAAGGATAGATGGGAAGCTACATATGTCACTCCTGGTATCATGCCTACAATTTTATAATTTCAGACAGCATTTCAAAAGGAATACAACCTTTAAATAAAAAAAGGAATGCTAATTTAAAGTGAAATGCCATTGCACAATATCAGCTGGAAATGGAAAATGTCATGTCAACATACTTCATCACGGTGATGCACCTGAGTGAAAATATGTAGACATTTTTTACAAAATCAAAAATCTGCACAGTAATTTCTGTATGTTTAAATGTCTCTGTGAGACTTTTTTTTCCATATTATCTCAATTATCTATGGCATGTGTACTTGAAAAATGTAGGTGTCTACTTCACAGAGGTATGTCAGGAGGTACTGGTGTGTTCGCAGTCCTGCCTCCAATACCCACATCCTCGTTTTGCCAGTATGTCTATCAACAACTGGACACAGTTTTTTTCACAAAAGATGGGACACATTTACATCCGTGGTCTCTCTTTTTCCTGACAAATATGTGATACCAGTACTTTTTTTTTCTTGCAAAGTTTTGTTACCAAAGCCCGCTACATTTCTTTGCTAGGGAAGTAGGAGGGCAACTTGAAAAGATTGTGAAAGTGTTAATACTTTTTGTATTGCGCTGTGCTTATCCTGAAGAAGGTACAGACGTCTTCCTTTTCTCACATTTTTCCCTGCTTCTTTCCAGCTTTCTCAGAGTGTTTTCATGAAGCAGACTCTATGTCATCCAATTATTTCCTGAAGAAAACTAGAGAGATAAGCCTTTGAAAACCAAGCCAGGACTCCAGATTTCTCTCACTGTATTAAATCATACTGATCAAAAACACAGAAAGATATAGAAGCACAAAATTAACAGTGGGACAGAGACAGTGGGAAATGGGGATCCCTGGATGTAATATTACAGGAGATGAGACCGTCCAATATCAAGGAAATATATTTGGACAGAGAGGGAATTACTGGGTGTGTAATACTGATTAACTATGTTGGAGAGAGACCTTGCCAAGCAGCGTGTTTTGGTCAGCCTCTTTATAAAGAATAGGAATGTAGGTAAAAGGTTAAATATAAAAAAAAACCCAAAAGTGCATCGCTCCTTCTGTTAGCTAATCCTTGGGCATCATCTGCATCAACCAGAGCAGTACAGTTCACTTCTGGGAAGGAGTCCGTCCCAGCTCCCATGACCGAGAGATTTCTCTCTTACCCTGCTAAAATATTTGGAGGGATATTTATTGACATGAATGAGACTGTGCATAATTGCATCTGAGATCCTAAGTGTTTAGGGTTGTTTAAGCTCCTTATATTGCAAAGACATAGTATTTTTTTAATGCCACATCCACCGAAAAAACATTTGCTTGAGGAAAATATACCAGTCATAGGTCAGACTCCGGAAAAAAAAGATACTGTCTATTAAAATCCACAGTCACATCATTTTTCCTTTCCTGCTTAGGCACATGGACAGTAGTTTGAAACCCAAAAAAGGCTGTAAAAAATATCTAATACACAGAGCACCCCTAATTACATTTCTTCCCAGCATGAGACTTTGTATGTCCCTTCAGCCTGACAAGTCCCGGCTCCCAACTTGGATGAACTCTGGAAGTGTTTCTCACTGCCCTGCGCTCCGCTGACACAAGTTTGAGCCAGCTATAACGCACTACACAAATCATCAAGCACTCTGGTGGGGAGGCCTCGGAATTTCAGGCTGTTTGGGAAATGAGTATCCGTCGGTTTAGAGTATCGCCAGCAAACCAGAAAACAGTTTTGAAAGAGGCTTGTATAAGGCAATGAAGGCACACATCAGCCTTTTAAATAGGCAAGTGGCTCTGGGGGAGCATTTCTGTGTGACCAGCGAACTGTTTTATCATAAGTTTCTTCAGAAAGTCCCCGTGCTTTTAACTGTATTTATGACTGCCCTTTGCTTCATCAGGTATATAATTCACAGCTCTTTTAAGCTATAGCTGTTTGTAGTAAAAGCGAAATTAAATTACTCATTCGAGACTATGGGCTTTGTGAGAAGGGTCGGGTGGCTGCAATGAAGCAGCTGAGGGAGATGCCCTCCTTCCCCTGCCGGCACAGAGCTCCGGGCAGCATTTCAGGGGCTGTCCTGCACCCCTTTTCTGGTGGATCTCCTGGTCTCCAACATGTGCCAGAAATCCAGCTGCCTGGGTGGATATCCACATGACTCCACCTGCGTATATATTTTTTCCCAATCGATAGCTGGGATGTACTTGGATATGATGGAATATAATGTATTTTTCAGATGCTGCTCTTTAATGAAGGGGGAAGAGACTGACACTGAGCAAGTGCAGCTTGAGGAATAAGCAGGTAAAGCATGCCCACCTGTGTGGTGAGGTTGGTGCTTAGGAGGGCAGGGCAGGCAGAGACCAGGGCAGCCCTCCATGCGGTGCAGGTGGGTGCTCAGCCAGCTTCCTGGGGGGACCACTTTGCTCATGCCGGGGCTCAGACCCTCAGCATCCCTCCATCCCGGGGGTGCCCCTTCTTCAGGAGACTGACACGCATCTCCTAGAGCCAGGGGTCAACCTGCCTCCAGCCTTTCCATCTGCTACCTGGGCCAGAAATTCCCATCTGTGATGCAGGAGACAGCCTAGCTTTGCCCCCCTCCCTTTAACATTTTGAGGGGATACACAGCCCTTTCAATTTGCAGAAATCTCTGATGTGTTACTAATCACCAGTTTTGAGGGGAACCCATTGGGGACAGCACCAAGTGAAAACGATTGGCATCGCACCATTTGTGATGTTAAAAGCCAAAAGGTAAAATGATAGAGCAATGCTTAAAGTAACAAGGCCTTGACATCTTCCTAATACCATATACTCTACCTACTGTGGGAATGATGCTCACTTAGAGTGTATATTTTGGCTAGGAAAAATCCTGTGTGCCTTAATATTATTTATGTCTGTTTTTCTCCAGAGGTCTTTTTGGTCAGGATTGTGATTTATGTTGTTTTTATTCCAGCTACGCAGGAGATTCTTTGACGGATTACAATCTCAGCAAACTCCAACTCGAGAAGAAGAATGACAGCTAAGAGACTTAAACCAGACTTTTCCCCATCCTGGAAAGGAACTGGCTGCCAGTATTTGGAGTTTTTTTAATACTCTGCCTCCCTCTGCTGTTACCAGCGAGAAGTTCTTCGACAATGGGAAATCATGTACTTGCGGCTTCGATTTCCATGCTCTCCATCCTGGCGATGATGGGAGATGCGGACAGTAAAACAGACAGTTCCTTCATGATTGACTCCGACCCCAGCCGCTGTATGAGGCATCACTACGTTGACTCCATCAGCCACCCCCTCTACAAGTGTAGCTCAAAGGTAAGGACTTCTCTCACTCCCGTGTTGGCAGAGTTATTAAAACGAGCCATTTTGGGGTGATTTTTCTCTGCAGAGTTTCCTTACTACCAAAATCTAGCTGCAGAGACATACAGATGTCGAGACATCTGAGCGTGTACATCAGAGCTGGGACTGGAGAGGAAGGTCCTTGGCTCTCTCTTCACCTTTTCAAAAGGAAAAACACACCATGATGGTAAAGCCAACATGCAGTAAATGACAAGATTCACGGGAGCACGTTGGGGTCTCAGCCGCCGGTGCGAAGGAGATGGGCTAGTTTGGAAGTTTAGATCATCGCAGTCACCCTCTCCTTCAAGTGAGTCTTTAATCCGGAGTATGAAAATTTATAACTTCTGCAGTGAAGTACTGAGATAAAGAATCAAGCTGTAAAAATGGTAATGAAGAAAGAATGTGAAAAACATTGCTAATGTTTTTTTTTTCCCATTTAGTTTCAAGGCCTTTGTTTTCATGCAGAATGACAATTGGATGTTTACTGTAGGGCTTAGGAGCAGAAGCAAATACAAGATTGCCTTTCATTTGAGATTTCAAGCCTGAAAAATTTTGTATCAAAATGGTTTAGCAGCCTGCGCGTGTAGCCTAGAGTCATTTATTTCATCGCTTGGAGAAAAAGAATGAGGAGAAACAATGGGAAAATCCTTGCTGGTCCCTTTTGTCTTGTCCTAATTTGTTCTGGCTGAGTTCCCCCAGCGCGTATTCACATGTACAGTCTCTGCCTGGACCATCCCTTGTCCCGCGGAAAGTGGCTTTGCCTTATGCACCCACATCCCGGGAATAACGAAAGGGAACAACAGCCGGCGCCAACGCTTTTGCCAGCCCTGCGTTGGGTAAAAGTGTGATGGGAGGCAGGTACGCGGTGGGGTTTAGGACAAGCGGGCTCCCTGCCGTTTGCCTGATGGCAAACCCCAGCAGTGGTGCTCCTGGGAGCATTTCTGAGGAGAGAGGATCCAGGCAGACGCCGTTGTGTGCAGAACGAGTTATTTGCTCCTGTGGTCAGTGCAGGGGTGAGGTAATATCACGGGTAGCAGCAGGCCATAAAATCTAAAATAAAGCACAGAGAGAAGTGTCAACAGAAAGTAAGACCCACTCGGTGCTCTGCATGCCCGCTGCGCGCCGGGATGGCTGCTGCCCGGGCTGTGCACCGTCAGCGGGGCTTGCCCTCTGCCTGCTCCCCAGAGAGGGGCTGATGGCCCCAAACTGGGCACAGGGGAAAGCCCCACTCCGGGCTCCCTTACACTGGGCTCACAGCAGTGCTGTCTGCCCGGCTTTGTATAACCATGCCTGATCCACAGCAGTGGGAGATCAGAGACTTTTGCCCTGCTGCTTCTGAGTTCAAGCAGTAAAAACATGAATTACTTGTGATTCGGGAGAGATCTTTTGGTTTGGTTTTAGCCTAGACTAGACCTTCTTACCATCTGGGAAACATCCAGCATTGACATACAGAACTGCAGAGCTGCATCTGTTTGTGCAATACTGATTTTGTTGCAGTTGACTCCAGTGAGAGGCAAGAGTGAGAAGTGTAGGTATGTGGGTGGGTTTTGCTTACTGGTATGTGGGTGCTAGCAGCCCTCCCCTCTCAAGGCACTCCAGATCACCTGTCAGACCTGAGAAGCCATAGCTACCGTGATGGTTTGGTCCAGGAGGGCGATGCTCCACCCAGCTGGCCCTCGCTCTTGGCTTCCCAGAGAGCAGGAGGAGCTGTGGCCTCTAACGTAGGCAAGGGGGTAGGTAGCCCCCAGAGGCCCTTTGGTCTCCAGCTTTGGGTAAGATCCCCCTCTGCCCCTCTACACCCAGAAGAGCAAATGAATAGCAAGCAGCAACTTCACTAGGATGGTGAGAAATTTAGAGGATCCCTGACCGGAGCACACTGCCTCAGACTAAGAGGATAAATACAACAGGTCCCAGCCCAGCCACTGAGGTAAATCCATCCTGGGGCACAAAGGATGGGGGTTTTCCAGCCCAGGGCCAGAGGACTGCCGTATCCTGGTCTCTCCCCTCCCCTGGGCCATCACCCACCCACCCCCATTCCCCGGCTGTAGCCGGTTCCCACAGCACGGCTTTGCCTCTGCTCGGCCCCACATCACCGACAGCTCTGCGGCAGCCAATGCCAGGGCCAAGCTCCCCTGTCCCTGGGCCAGCCTGGCACTCGCCCCGAGGCTGCTGCCCCGGCACTCCCAGCCCTGCAGCTCCACACATTTCTCCCTTCCCCGCAGTCAGCCCGTGCCTCAACTCTGGATGTGATTTTCTTCCATGCTCAGGTCATTGCTTCCTACATGGCCCAAGGGCTTTTGCTCCTCAGCCGGCTCTCCTGGTGGAGGCTTTTAGGATAATTGTACCAGGTGGGGGCTGCTCCTCGGTCCACGTGAGTGGGAGCTGTGATTGCACCTGTCCAGGACGCTGTCGGTTTGTTGCTCGATGGCTGGGATGTGCCGCTGGGTCTGGCACGCTCCTGCACACCTCAACGAAGCCCTTTCAGTGAGTGTCTGCCTTCCTCACTCTGCCATCATCACCATCCTCTTGGTTTTTCTTAAAACTCTAGATGCCACAGACATCAGATAGATGGTTATTTTTCTGAAGAAAGAACAAGAGGAAGGAAGGAAGGAAGGAAACCCACCAACAACTCAATTTCTTAGCATCTCCAATGACAGAGAAAAGCAATCAGGCCTTTAGGAGTGGGACTGATGGAAATGAGAACACAGAATGCATTCTAATGAAAACCATACTATTTTAAAACTGAGCTTTGAGAAAAAAACTGTTGACATAAACATTTGTAACTCTGACTGCAAAATGTCAGTGGCTTTTTTAAAATCAAGCCTTTAATGGAAATCATGTTTCAAAATATTATCACATCTCTTGGCTTCCCAAATTCCACAATGGTTTCAAGAAGCATTTTTTTAACAATACTGCAAGTTGTATGGACTTTCTCATAAAGTGGAAAATGAAAACAGTTTCCATACAAAGTGAAATAATTCTGACATTTCCTAGAAAACTTCTCTCTGTTTGTTAAGCTCTTTTTTTTTTTAAAGTCTCAGAGATCTGAATCATCCTGGTAGACACACGGCTTCTGTTCTGGATCTAGCATATAAACACAGACCAATATTAGACTTGCTAACAAAAATTAGATGCAATGTCTGTTCCTGTATATATTGTGATAAAATATAAACAAATCAAAAAAAGGAAGGTTCTGCGGGAATAGCTGTGGGAATTGTGGTACCTCTTGTTTCCACAGAGTTTCCATTGTGAACCTTGGACTGACAATTGATGTCAAGCAGAAACTTTGCCCTTTTTTGGCGTGATATATTGGTTCCCCTGAGTCATTCTTTTTCACTCCGTATGTTTTCCCTTTTCGTGCAGCATAGAATTACAGAAGTTAAAAATGGCTTCAGAAATTGCAAGACATATTATGTTTGCTGTCCATCTTGGTTAAAAAAGGATTATGTCCATCGTGCTTCTCTGTGGAGGCAGCCAATTGTACCCACACGGGAAGAAGTTTTGTTACATTTGGAAACATCCACCCAATATAATTTAATCATTAAAATCCCTCTTGCTTGTGACCTCAGGCAGATGTTGAAAACAGGTTTCCAAAGCCTTCGGAAACATAGTCCATTATAGTAACAGAATGTATAAAAGAGACACAAAAGAGGGATGGAAGAAGGTAATTTGTTCCTGAAAATCAATGTTTTCCTTTGACTTCAAGGAAATGTTTGTGTCGGCTCATGAGGTATTGCCTTTCCTGACCATATTGGATTCTGCCTGACCTCTGTCACGGAGACCCACTGGTCTTCATCGATGTGCTGGATCGCCTCGCTGCTGCAGCCAGAGCCTCCTAAATTTCAGTCTTGGCTGTCACAAGTGCTTCCTCCAGATGTGCCAGAAGTGTGCTCCCACTGACAGCCTCGTACTAAAGAATCCAGCCCAGAGAGACACGGACCAGATGAAGAAAGATTTAGCAAATGTTTGAAGATATTTACTCATGGGGTAGCTCAGGAGATTTTCAGTAATGCCTGCTTGCAGCCAGGCCACAGATACTGTTGAAATTCTGTTCTCATGCATCTCAGCCCATCTGCTTTCGGGTCTCCGCTTGCTGCTGAAGAGAGTGGAAAAGAGGACTACAAACACCATTAACAACGAAGCAGTTCACAACTTCTGAATGTCCAGAATAGGGCTCGAATGGCCAGAGTCAAATATTCCCTCAGATTCAGGTTGCTCTCCTTCCTGGCCATCCAGATCCCTACGAGACTGCTGAATTTAAGTAAGAAAATCTATTCTTCCCTAGCTGCTCATACACGTGAGACCCTGCAGTTCCCACGAAGTAGCACGCTGTGCTTCTGGATCCAGCATCACAAGGTGACACGCACAAGCTCACATGTGCTGGGGATGAGGGAAGCCAAGAGGCACGCGTATCAGGTTATAAAATACCCACACGTTTTTACTATATATACACCCACTGTATTACTGTGCTATGCCTTCATAGCATTACTAATTATTTAGGTGATAATCTCTATTGCGCTATAGTATACGATGCAATAAGCAGCTGGTGCGATTGATTAAATGGCAAAGCAAAGCTTTTAAAGTACATGCTATTTCCAGCTCATTTGCACACCTGCCAAAATCCACTGGTGCTGTTCTGGATTTATGAGGAGGAGGAGGTTAAATTTTGCTGAGAACTTCAGGTTAGCCTGGTAGTTTAGAAAGCTATCAAAATGGGAACTCTGAAAATTTTTTATCGTGCACTTTTGACTCAATACCCGTGGTGCTGTGCCATTTGTAAAAGTTTACACTGTCATCCAAAACCAGGGCATAAAACCAACACTGTGTAATTTTACACGAGATCAATACTGACCACACTCTTACAAAAAACTAAGTAGCCAGCAAAATTTGAGATTACAATTAGAGTCTCTACAGACTAAAATACATTTTTAAAGACAAGGCTTGCTATGCAATTATAAATGCAGTTGCACATTGAAGAAATATTGACTGGTTTTGCATTAGAAAGTTTGCTGTTCATAAGAAATACATTGAGACACAGATACTGGCACATCAGGTAATTCTACCCTATAATTGCATTGCTGCAACTCTTTCGTAGTCCTTAATCCTGTTCCTTGGTTTGTTTGGGGTTTTTTTCCCGGCATTTCTGAAAGCACCTGCAGATACAGGAGCAGATGTGTGTCATAAAAAGTCCTTAGGGTAACAGTACCAGAAGTGACTGACTGTTCCAGCTCCAGAAGCACCAACCATTAGAAGTCACCTCCACCATACATCAACATGTGCTGTCATATTTGGGCTGAAATCACAGAATCATAGAAATGTTGGTTGGAAGGGACTCTGGAGGTCCTCTGAACCTCCCAAAAAGCAACTTGTGGCTGTTGCACATCCCCCTTTGCCACTCCTGAAGAGTCTGGCTCCATCATTTCTAGAACCATCCAGCGGTTGCCAGCTGGTGTTGGACTGCTCTTCACCCTCCTCTTCAGCCAAGCGCTTGGGAAGAGCCTGTGCCAGGGAGTGCAGACAGTCTGGTGAACTGGTCAAAGTGAGGCACCAAACAAGAGCTGTCAGGATGCTGGGAAGGGAACTAAAAGTTTTAAATGTCCCAGTCTGCTGTCTTTCCTTTGCAGTACAGGCAGGGTTAGATACCTGTGCAGCTCTTCAGCAGCTGCCTGCCTGTCTCTGTGGGAAGTGAGCTTTGTTGACCAAGGGGGAAAAAGGTGGATCTTTATCGGTCAGTAATGGGGTGCTAGCACTGTAATGATTGTCCCCTTCCCTGTTCTCATATACACTAAGGACACTGGTAGTAAGGAGCTCGACATAGCTAGTACGTCTGAAGTGGGGGTATGGCTCAACAGTACGCTGAAATTTCCTTCCCACCATATTACTACTAACAGCTGAAGTGAATTTGCTTATGAATATGCAGCATCACAGGAAGGGGGCCATAAATTTATGCTTCAAATCATGAAGGATGGCAAATTTGTCTGAGAGCAACAAGAACTCATCTCTTAATTAAACTAAGAAACAGGATGGTGTTAACTCCAGATCATTAGCTTAGGAAGACATCTTCCTTGTGATCTGTCTGTGTTGACTGGAAGTGTAGTTGTTAATATATTACTTTTCCAAGCAAACCATTTAACATGCAAGTCCTCTGGGAAAAGTAATTTTTAAGAACTGTACTGTGGATGATCAGGGCCTTTCCCACGGACACAGACAGTGCTGGTATTTCCTACTTGATACCAGGAATATTCTCTCTCTCTTTCTCTCTCATCTTTCCTCATGACTCTGACTAAAGAGAAAATTTAACATTTGACATACCTGCTTGCAAGACTTGGGGATTTGCAGCCAGTTGAGCATCTGCAGTGAAAATAGCTCAAAAAGGTTTAATGTTGTAAAATGTTTGCTGTCACATCTGTAGTTATCCTTTTAGATTGTCTGGAAAAAAACTTGAGATACGTACAGCACGCTTAAAATGTCATTTTCTTCCTTGGTTATAGGACAGGCTTACAACTGGCTTATTGCCTACTTCCTCACCTCTGCCACATTTTGACCTTGTTTGGATGATACAATAAGTTGATTTTGAAATTTGTGTTGGTTAAGCAGAATTACCTGATACGGACTTAGTATTTTATTCCCCATGAAATTGTAAGAGTATTCAAACTTGTCCAACGCTTACCCGTTATCAAGGTTGTAACAGCTGTTCCTAACCACATCATTTCCCGAGCTTTAGAAGATCCTTTCCATGTTTTATATAGAGCTTAGGAGACTCTATCCATCTCCTCTGCTCAACAAGGGGTTGTTGGGAAGGGGAGCAGGTGACTTCCCATGGGCTTTCCTTCCTTAGTGCCTCCAGTTGTGCAAGTTACATTGTTCTGATCACAGCTCAGATGGTGAACTCAGGACAAGAAGCAGCATGGAGCCTGCACTGCTTTTGGAAAATCTCATGTTTGGCAACGAGTTCATCTTGTTTACATTTTCGCTGCCTTATGCTATGCAGTGCATTTTATACAGATCCAACTGATGCAATTACATGTATATACACACATGTAATTGCAAATACCTATTCAAGGTGATCTTTGTAAAAGAAGGAAGCTAGAAACTTACTTCTTTAGAAGGAATAAACGGAGCATCTTTTTTATATTTCTGCTTTATATGTTTCTGTATCTAAGCATTGGAGACATTCACTGGCCTCGAGGACCAGCTCTGCTGATCCCTAGTACATACGCTCAAAACATTGGAAAATGCCCAACTGAAGTATCAGTCTGGCTGATGATTTAAGGACTCAGCTGCCACAAATCTGGGGTCAGCAAGTCACAGTTGCAGGCACCTTGCCTGGAAAGCAGGGCTGGCTGTGACCACTTGGAGCCCTGAGGTCAGCTTTCAGAAAACCACGTCCCGTAGTCCTTACTGGTGTCGGTGCCTGGGACTCCAGGAGGAGTCTTGCTTTTCCTCCAGCCCATGTTACCTCCTCCGCTCTCTCAGACACAGCTCAGGGGCAATGCACTGTGTGGGGCTGGGTGCCATCGCCAAGGTGGGGAGATGGAGTAAGCAAAGAAAGACTAGCCAGACTGGAAGAAGGTAGCCCTCTGCTAGTGTCAGCTGTGTGCTGGAAGCCATGGGGGCACGTTTCCTAATCCATCTCCTTTCTTTCGCAGATGGTGCTGCTGGCTCGCTGTGAAGGACGCTGCAGCCAAACATCACGCTCAGAGCCGATGGTTTCTTTCAGCACCGTCCTGAAGCAACCTTTCCGCTCCACCTGCCACTGCTGCCGGCCCCAGACCTCCAAGCTGAAGGCCATGCGGTTGCGATGCTCGGGGGGCATGCGGCTCACTGCCACTTACCGCTACATCCTCTCCTGCCACTGCGAGGAGTGCAACTCCTAGGGACGTACCTGCCACAGCAGAGAGGGGACTGGGATGCTGCTGTTGGGGAAGGCTCCCAAGAAGTAACCCAAGGTGAGGCCGACATTCCCAGCATACGATTACAGCGAGGACAGGACTAACCAGGCTGGATTGGATCTGAGAGCTAAAGTGTAAAATATCCTGGGGCCCTGGATGGTGCTGGTACCGAAGTGTGGGCCATGACAAAGGCAAAAGCATGAGGACTTGGTTTTAAGAAGCCTTTCTTTTTTTCTGAAAGGATATTTTTGTGAGTTTCTTCTTTTTCAGGCTCAGCTCTGCCTACAGAGAGGTGCTTTTACTTTAGGCCACAGGCAGCAGGGGAAAAGAGAGGAAGGTCAGCCTGACGACAGCACTGCGCTCTGGAAGGTGGCGTTCGGACAGAGGACAGGCATCAGTTCCCACATACAACCTCTTAACCTATCAATTTATTCTCAGTCTCCTAGTTATATTGGCCTTCAAGACAAACTGTGTTGTTGGCAAGGGTTATCTGTTACTGATCTACCAGCCAAGTGCTGGGTAACGTTAACTGTGGTTTAGCAGAAATTACAAATAAATAATTGAAAAGTGAACTGGATATGAAATGTCGTGCTGGGATTACCCAGCCCGAGCCAGCTGAAATTATTATTTGCAGCATGCAGCATCAGAGTTCAGTGGCTGTGTGACTCTTGAGAATTAAAAGTTCATGAGACTCATTATTCCCCTCTAAAAGCCTGGAAATGTGACACATTACATCTGTCACAAAAGCCATTGTTCAAATGCTAAAAACTAATCAAAGATAAAAATGACACATACTAAATGGAATCTTTTCTTAACTTGGGTAGACCTGTTGATGTACAGAGCCAGAGCCACCAAAACAATGACCAAACCTGGGACTTATTTTCATCTATAGTTCTTGGGCCATTGAATGAGTACCACGTTGCCTTTTAAAGACAGGCAATCCCAAACACAGTAGAATCACACTGATGTATCCACTGGAAGTTTAAGGCAGAGTCCTAGCATTATGTTATCCACTCGACGACAAAGGCTGTGTTTCGATTTACCTAACGATCTGCTACCTGGGGTCCTGCTTGATTCAGCACCCAGCTTGGCAGCTGCTCAGGGAATGGCACAGCTCTTGGCTGGTCCATACGCCCATATGTCCTTTGTGCACACACGAGGATGTAGGAGGCTGTGGTGGGGTTAGCGCAAGCCCAGACCTCACCATGGGTGAAGCTGTCCCACAGTCAGGGCAGCAGAGCAGGGGTAGCCAGCACTTCTCTGTGAGAAGCAAGTGAGAGCTGCTTTGCCCTGTAGGACCATTGCAGAAAGAAATGCCTCGAGGAGCAGAATGAATTGCAGTGATTGATAGGGCGAAAGGATCTCGAAATAACAAAGGATGCCAAGTTTCGGAATGGTACTTGGTATTTGTGGAGAAACTGTGTCCCTTCTCCATTAACATGGGGTTTTAGGAAGGTTCAGTCATAGCCTCTTGTGATGGCAAGGAAACAACATAACAGTTCTTAGATCGTATTACAGTTCTTATCTCCTTAAATGTCAGTATATCCACTCAGTCAGCAATACGTCTGTATGTTCACATAAACCCAGCTAACCCATTTTTTTTTCATAGAAGTCATGATGATGTTGAGAGCACCGTTGCAGTGTAAGGATTCAGTCAGCGCACTTTCTACCCCTCAGTAACATCCGCATGTGTAGTCCCACCGTCATTCTCTGGGACAGGCTGGAGCTGTGCCCCTGCACAGCAGCGTCTGGCAGGGCCCCATGGTAAGGAGGGGAAGTTCTATCCAAGCCCAGTGTTTGGTCCATCTCTTCAGCCTCATCCATTTTATCTGCAAAAAATGCCATATGCAGCAGCTCGAGGATGCACACTGACACTGTAGGGGATCCCCAAGATCTGCCAGGGAGGGCAGTCATCCTGTGGTCTACACAGGAGTTACTGCGGCTGCTCGGGCAAAGCCAAATTCCTTTGCCACTGCCTCCTCATGGTGAATATGTATGGGATGTGAAGGCAGGCAGGTGACAGACCCTGGCCTTGCAAGCCAAATCCTGGAGCAGGATGGCAGTCAGCATAGGAAAGCGATGTGGGACACCGCAGACACCAGTTAGAGAGGTTTGTGACGTATGGGAAGAACTGTATCTGTCTTCTGGAGATGACTGGGAGATGTTCAGTTTTCAACAACACCGAACTGTGGGCAAACAAAAGGGTGAATCAAACTTTCAGAAGCTGAGGGGCTCCGATTAAAATGTCAAAACCAGGAGTGATGAGCTTCAGTGAGCTCATTGGACACCGTGTGTTGTTTCAGCACTGTCAGTCATTCTTTTCACATCGGATGCATGGTCTGAACATCAAAGGGCCAACGAAGGGAGCGTGAATTGGGCATTATCACCAGACTATACGAAAGATCATATATGCGTCCCTTTTCCACTCTCTTTCAAACCCCAGCATCTAAAAATTCCATTATCCAAAAAAGCGCCACCCCCTACTGTTAATTATACAGAGAGAATTCCAGTCCTTATCTGAAACATCAGCAATACCTTTGATAACCAAATAACTATACTGCAAAATATGCATGAGCTCTAAGCGTGGGTATAGAGACTGCTGCACACAAGCAATGCTATGCAGTTATCTAAGGAATGGGGAATGTTAGAAGGGTAACTGCTATACCCAGCATTACCTCCCTCTGGGCCGTGCTGCCACTGGCCTCCTTTGCTGGCGTAAAATGGGATGCTGGGGGGCTGTGACACGAAATTCGGGTGATGATTTGGGGTGCTCCTGCATGGCTGCTAGCGGCTCTGCTGGCTGGACAGGATGGGGCAGAGCAGCGTGGCCCCGATCGCGGTTATCTGGTGAGGAGAGAGGAGGGGTAAGAGCAGAGACCATGCCTGCACCAATTTAGAAAAAAAAGAGAATATTTACAGTGAGAGAAGAGCTTGGCAGGTATTTATTCCCACATCCCCTAGCTATCACAGTGCCAGAGCTATAATTGCTCAAATTGGTCTCATAGAAGATATTCGTGTTTCACAAAAGTTTTTTTTTTCCCCTCTCACACCCTACATTCCTTCCACTTTTGCTCGGTTCCTCCAAAGAAATAGAATCATAGAATATCTCAAGTTGGAAGGGACCCATAAGGATCACCAAGTCCAACTCCCTGCCCCTCGCAGGACTACCTAAAACTAAACCATATGACTAAGAGCAATTATTGCCTTGTTTCCGCAAAGGCAGTTGCCAGGAATAAATGTTGAGGGGAATTCAACATTATCTAATTTAACTGTTGAGTCAAATAAATGTATGGAAGGAATATAACAGAAATTATGAATGACAAGACAAAGCAGACTTGTAAATAGCTAGAACTGGATATTAAACAATGATTCAGACTTTCAAATTCTCCTTTTGACTTTACCAGGCAATCTTCATATTAACATTTAAGAAAAGGAGGAGCTATTCTTCAAACCCAAATGCCTCAAAGTCATTTATAAATCCATATTTTGATACTTTTTTATCAGTATTTTAGGCAACCAAGTGCTGAATGAAGCACACAAGCGCTACCCATGTTAAAATTCAGGAGGCGTATTGAAGCCAAAGAAAACAAGGCTTCAGGTAAAAACTACAGAACATGGCTCATGGTGAGAAAGAGTCTAAATGGCACTTGGAGGTGAAATGGCTTTCTGATTTCTTAGCCTGACACCACTCTGGATACTTAAGCTCTGTTTTTCAACTCAGACTACCGTGTTAAGTGCTTCTTGAATTGAACAACAGGGAGGGCAATGTCTAGTTACCCAGATAATGTTGTGGGGCTTTTTCTTTGCTAAAGCATCCTCTCCCTAGGACTCACATGAGAAGGCTTTGTCCTTTTTTTCCCCTCACCGTGCTTCACTCTTCAGGCACCATCTTCCCTCTCAGGAAGGCTGGTTCAGCTGTGATCATCCTGTGGTTTGCTCAACAGATGTGACACAGACTTTCGACTGCCACCACCCTATGCCCTCTTTTCTTTTGATTAAGTTTCTGAGTCCAGCTTGGCTTACTTTTGAAAGCCACCCGTCCCAGCAGTGTTGGTGTTATGTTTCAGCTGGATTGACTGTACTCATGGAGACCAGAGGGAAACACTAGATCTTTGCTGGTACCCTTTGCTTGTAAGAAAAGCCTTATAATGCCACTGCATTTCTGCCTATCAGAAATAATCTGTGATGTGCCAGAATAGAAGACCCCATGACCTAGTAAATTTTAATTATTCTGCTCCCAGTTTCAGTGGGTCTGTTAAGCGCTTAAAGCCGCATAGGTACAAAACTATTAAACTCAAGAACTCACTGCTTTCTTGGAGATATCCCCACTGACCTTCCTTACACCTCACCTTGCCCTCTGAGCTTGGAGAACTTCTACCAGACAAGAGATGCTGAGCCTGGCTGTCTCCCAGTGGCCTTCATCAGGGCTTTTGTAAGCTACTGTCACAGTGGTCATGGCAATAACTGAGAGGCAAAGTTCACTGACATCCATGGTGCATCACAGCCTGTGCTGGGCCTTCATGTGAGCCTTAGTTGAGACCTGTTCACCAAGTCCTTGTACCACGAAGCCCTGAAACTCAGGCAGGACTGTGTAGCTCGCAGCCAGAATATTTTTGTGAAAGAGGAGAGAAATAAAAGAGGAGAGGTTACTGTCTCATTGGAATAGTCCGATGCTCTGCTGCTCAATGTGTCTCACCTCAGTTCTTAGGACCTGAGCTGAGAAAAGACATCAGGTATTCTGATGAGCTCCCTTCTGTACGTGAGTGTTTTTTCAGTGCCTAGTCCTACATGTTTAAAGACAGTGGTTTCTTACTGAATTTGTCTGAAACAGGATTAAACCTTCTGGGAAATACAGTTCTGCTTAGCAAGGAATTTTTGCTCTGACTTGGGCCATAAGTATTTTTGAAAAATCCAAATGCCATTGAAAAGGTCAGTGTAAGGTGTCGGGGGGGGGGGGGTGGGGGGGGGGGGGGCGGGGAGAGTATGCCTTACTTACTTTGACTCTGTAGTTATTTAAAATATAAGGGCTTTGGAAAAAGAAAAAAAGATGATATCCAGGGTAAAAGTGACTGACAGCCTTCTGAGATAGATTGCATTATAGCTAACACGTATTAAGACTGATACTCTCACAAAAGTGCAGCAGGCTGTGTTGGAAAGTAGCAGCCCAGTTAAGTTTGCTGTGTTGCACATATACAAATAAGCTGGTTGGAAAACCAAATAGTGAGTCTACCCCTTTTATTTTGCAAGTAAGCAATCACAATCTTTATTTATGGTTCAAAAGAGAGAGGACAGGTAATCACTAGTCTGCAAAGTATGTTAGTAAGCAGGCTAACGCACTGAAAATGGTTCTTGGTGGTTCTATGATAGATGCTTTATGTACATCAAGACACAAAAGACCAGAATTCACTAACAAGAATAAGTAATCTTGTTTGGACTGCCCCAAGAATGCATATTTCAAAATGGTTTGGTTTACTTTTGCTTTTTTTTTTTTTTTTTTTTAATAGACCATTTGGGAGCGGTCTAGGAATCAAAAACATGTATGAAAAGAAAAGGACATCTATCATTTTTCTGA